TTGACTGGGAAGAGCAACGAGCACTTGGGGGCCGCATCGCATTCGCCTGCTGTGCTCGGGCGGACGAGGCCGACGCGGCCAGCGACGCGGACGAGCTGCTTGACCTCGCCAACCAGGCGGCCCACGCTTGTCACGCCGAGCCCCGCCAACGAAATCCGCGACATGACACGTGCGCATCGCGCAAACAACCGACCAACATAACACCGCGTGTCCAAGAAGCGCGCGCCGCCCCTCTCGCCCGCCCCGAGCGCGGCGCGGCCAGTCGCGTTGGCGCCGCTCTCGACGAGCGAGGGATCAACTTCAGCTTAAACACCGCCCGGGGCGTCGCCACGTCTATTGCAGCACGCGCGGCAACAGCCATGCCCAACCGTCGAAACTCAAGAAACGCGCGCGGATGGTGGCTCCGCGCCCGCAGGCAGCGACCCAAGTGCCTCGCATAGTCACCGCGCGCATGAAACCCAGATGAGCCCCCCGCCCGCCTGCGACTGGACAACCTCGTCGCCTTCGTGGAGGCGCGGCTCTGATTGCGCAGCCAACGGGGCAAAACCAACCGAATAAGGGCCTTGCGAACCCAGGGGAGAGCCAGCGACGGAGGTGAGGCGAAGAGCTGGTGGGTCAAAGCGACTGACATTTTCAGCGCGGTCTACCTGGGGCACCGCGGAGCGGGCTGCCTCGCGCGCCGCCAGGTGCGTGGGCGGCGGCGAGTCAGCCAGAGAGCGGGCCCCCGCCTGATTGTGAGTCGCCAGACTCGCAGTCACAAAGTGGTGAAGCATCCACCTCTTCCTGGCGCGGCCGCGGACATCGGGGGCGAGTCTGACTCCGAAGACTTTTCCCTGTCGAACCTGCAATGCCACATCCTGGCTGACGCGAGAGCCATGCACGTGCCCATGACTGACTCTTGGGGACCGATGCCGGGGCGCTAGCGGCAGACATGGGCCCTCTCTCGAGAGGCTATTCCCACTTTGGAGGAATTTAAGGCGGAGTACCACCAGGATTTTTCTGACCCCGCCCCCGCTTCACCTTTCGCCCTGACGAAGCGCTCGTCAGTTTCATCCGCGCCCGAACCTCCGCTACAGCGTGCGGCCTAGACGGATGGGCCACCAAAGAGGCCAAGACGCTGCCCGACGGAGTCCTTCACTTCTTCGCTACAGCCTTGGGAGACATACCTGAGCCCTCCTCCACATTCCAAACCTCTGCCTTCTGAAAGGGAAAAGGGAATTGCAGCTGACCAACGCTTGCTCCCTGTCATGTGTATATGGATGTATGCGTGGGAAGCACCAGCTTACCGCAACTCAGCGCCATGGAGAGCCCATCGGGCCCGCCTAGCGAGCTTCGGCACGCCGCCATTGGAGACGACAGCGCCGCGCTGGCACTACAGGTGGAACGCGCCCGACACCTCCGGGCACCCCTGGCTCGAGCTACGCTCGAAAGGCAAAAGTGCTTCGACTACCTAATCAATGACATGTGTTTCAATGTGGCGCTGCACGCGGGATGCTCTCCGGATATAGGTCAAGTCAGAAGATATTCTTACGAGAACCATCGTGGGTACATTCGCATTGGAGGGGCGTAGTCCAGGCCCTTGGCACGCGCCAGCGGCCATCTTCCAGGTAGCTCTTTCTCTTCCGCCGACATCGCATTCTTGATGTGCGGGTCAAGAAACAATGCCGTTGCGCGCCGCGATCCCGAAGCACGACGTTCGTCGACGACAGGAACTCCGCCGCGCCAGCTGCCAGGGGGCCCCAGGCTTCATTCGGCGAAACTGTCCTCTTCGATTTTCTTTCAGGCGAGAAGAGTCACCCTGGCAGGGTTGCGGGCTGGGCCGTCGGCGAAGAGCTCCACGGCCAGGTGGCGGCCCACCATTTCAACGGGCGCCCTCCGCAAGGTCCACGCCAGGCGCAGCCTCCGGGAGGCTGCGTCAAAGTGGCGCCTGCAGCGGATGATGCCATGTTGAATCTGGCGACCACCGCGGGTGCTAGAGTCAGACCCCCACGACATGGACGTCTCCCCGAAGGTGTGCCCATGCTCTCGCCCGCTCGTCTGGTCCCTCGTTGCTATCATGTGCCTCGCTGGTGCCGACATGCAAGCCCCCAGCGCGAGAGTGCAAAACTGGTGTAACATTTCGACGTTTGCCGCCGTTCGCCCAATGTTGCGATCCTGGATATCACAGTAGTTTCTCCTTGCATCCACTTGAACTCGGTGCCACTTCTCAAAGGGCAGCCCTTCTCGGATTGCGGAGACAGGTTCGAGGAGACACCGGTCGCAACGCTAAAACCGAAGAGCTGCGAGACAGCGCGCAGACCTTCCAAGAAGCTGGCCCTGCTGGTAGAGTCTGGCAGACCATTGCTCAGCTGGGGTGGGCTTGGCCATAAATTGGCATTCTTCGTGACGACTGGGATACCCACCTTTCATTGTTGCACCTTCCTGTCGGCTAGCTCCCTCATGCTCCCAGCGTCGCGCGGAGTATCGCGTCCTTGCCAGCAGACGCGACCTCGGCGTGGTCGCCGCGGTCGAACAGGGCATCGGCAAGTCTGCCAGCACCTGGCTACGTGGAACCAAGAGCAAACTTAAATACACGGCTTGGCCGCTCGGCCCGCGTTGGAGACCGCGCCTTGCAGAGGGAAGTCCGCGCGGGCATCTCGGCCGACCCGCTCCGTGCAAATATTTCAACCAAGAAGAAGAAACTCAGGAACGCGCTGTTCGGACATGCCCTCGCTGGGAGGCGGAACGGATCGCCATGGAAACAATCATCACTGAGCAGCAATGGAGAAGCCTCCCGCCCCGCAAGGCATCGCGGGCTGCCTGGAGATGACCCGCAGCTGGACCTCCGGGCCACCTTTGCAAAAGGCGTGCTCCCACAGCCCGTTCCGCGCCACCCGGCCGAGGGCTCCCAATCGGATCTTCTCGAAGAGTGCTTCGCCGACGACGACGCGGGGGCCGCGTGGGTCTACGCGGCCGCAGACGGGGCCCGCGCGCATTGGGCCGACCCGCTCCATGCAAGGGCTGGCCAAGGAGTCTAGAACAGGCGTGATCACCGGCTTGCCCGCTCGGCCCGGGCGTGCGTCTTGGCCCAGTCCGCGCAGAGCGCTGAGACCCTTGTTCTACCCCACTTGGTGGGTCCTGCTGGACGGCCTGCCCACATATTCGTTGACAACCGGGCCGTCGTCGGCGGATTTCAGGCCCTCCTCCCAGAAACGCCGCCGCAAGTCATTGGAGCTCAGGCCGATCTCTGGCAAGCGATTCTCCAGGCGCTGCAAGCCAAACCCGACGTCTTCGGGGTCCACGAAGTTGACGGCCATCTCGGTGAGGACGGAAAAGGTGAAGGTCGAAGCTCGCCGGTCGCAAAGGCTTCTATACGCCGCGCAGATGAATTCGCCACTGCTGGAGGACGCCCGCGTGCCCTGCAGCAAGATGTCATCGACGGCCATGTTGCGACGCAAATTCGCGGTGGTTTTCCGCAGCACTGCTGCCGCGATCAATAGCCGTCGCCACCGCGCTTTGCCCTTGCCAGACAGACGCGCGGGTCACCCTCGGGCTGAACTCAGCAAGATGAAGCCAGCCCCTTCACCAACAAGGGCAAGGGAGTGACGAGCCACCAGGCGCGCCTGGCGATCCCTCGCAACCGCAAGGCCCACCATAGCCGGACTTTCCGACGATCTCGACGACCCATGGGGTCGTCCAGTCGATGACTGCGAAGGAGGAGACGAGGACGCATTTGGGTCAGGTGCGGCCTTGGACAACGATGAAGGAACCACTGCTACTCCACCAGGAGGTCACGATAGTGACGGCCACGGCGCCGGCGATAAAATCACAAGACGGCGTTAGCAAAGGCACGCCGGAGCGGTGCCTCAATGGGCTTTAGTCCAACAGGGCCACGCCTCCGTGGCCACTGCGCATTGCCCGCAGGTCGTTTCCCCTTCCGCCAGGGTACTTGTACCTGCGATCACCCTACCGCCCAACAGGGTATAGGAAATGGTGGGGCACCATTGCAGCGCACGGATCGCATGCGCGCCCTGGCGCCGCACCTTATGGCTTCTAGGCAACAGCAAGGTCGGGCTCATCGCTAGCACCATGGCGCTGCAACAGCGTGCCACAAACCTTGCGCGCACCCTTTTATTCCATCCAGGAGCAGTTTCGCCTTCTGCTGGGCAAATTCCAGCGAGTTCAGTCCGCCTGGAACGACCTGCTACAAGCCTTCTGTCCGACCGCTTCTCTCGGGGTCACTTTCCAGGGGGGCCTCTGTGCGCGCCATATACCTCAACGCTAACACACCAGTGCTGGCCTCTCCTCTCTCGGGTGCGCGGTGACAACAGCTGGCGCCTGCTCCGCGGCCCGTGCATTGGGCCCGCTGCGGGGGGTGCCCCAAGGTGGCGCAACGGTTCGCTGAGGTGCCGATGTGCACAGGCCAAAGCGCGCTGGAAGCCAGCGCCTGTTGCTCGGGTGTGCTGACGGGGCGTGTCACGCCCTGATCATTACAAGCCTTTTTTTCGGTCGGGACCCTTCTTGCCCGCGCCAGGGGGGAGGGTGTGTACCCCTGCCCTTGTTCGTTGTGCGGAGCTTCCCACCATTGTGAGGATGGCTCGGGCGGCATGTACAGCCCGCCAGGCCAGGGCAGGCCGAACTGGTGCGCTGTCGTTTTTTGTTATATATATAGATATATAATGTTTTTAGTTATTTTGTTTTCTCTCTCTCTCTCTCTTTCTCTATCTGTCTCTCTCTTTCTCTCTCTATATATATGTCCTTCCTGACTCCCTCGTCTTGGTTTCTCCTTACTTCGTTCTCTTCCTGACCCGTACTCCTCTTTGTGGGCAGTGGACCTCCTACTTCGGATGCCCCTACTGCTGCTGCAGCAGGGGGGGGGGGCGGAGAGGGAGGAGCAGGAGGAGATGGAGCCGATGAAGGAAAAGCAGCGGGAGGAGGGAACAGGGTAATGGAAGAGGGGGAAGAGCGATGACGACGCGACGACGACGACGACAACGACGACGATGACAAGCGGCGGGCAGGTGTTCGGATTACATGCCAGAGAAACACTACAGGCAGCTGGAACAGTCGCTCCAGTTGGACGCAAGGGGCGGACGGGGTGGTCGACGCGCCAGACATCTGGAGCCTCGAGAACATCGTGACGCCTGGTCCCTCGCCATGCTGAAACTTTGGGCACCTTTTTCTGGCCCTGGGATGCCTCGGGATCAAGAGCAGGCCCTTGGGAGAGGGTCGGGGATTCAGGGGGCCCCATTATGAACAGATATGCCACGACGTCGAAAGTCCACGGAGGGGAAAAGGGGGCCCAGTCCTGCCGACCTGGCCTCTGAGGGCGCAGCTCGAGAACTGGCGAGGGCGGACCCCGCGAGGAGTCTGGGAACCAGTTTCGACGGCTTCTGAGTCGGAGCCTTGCCCTCCGCGCGCCTCGAAGCAACATCACGACGGCGGGCTTCTCGGCCGCGCTCGGCTCTGCGGGCCGTTGCCAGGCCCCGGGGCCATGCACAAAGCTGCTCAGGATGAGAAGTCGACTTTTCGGAGAGGGTCGGAGCTTTTGGGGACCCCGTAGTGAAGAGTTCACCCTGCGACCGCTTGCGAACCCTATCCCTGTGGGTTCCATCGGCGCTTGGGTATCGGATGCCCTCGCCGGGGTTCATTTCGCTGCAGACATCCTTGAAACTCTGAGCCCCAGCCAGCGTTTCAGAAATCTGACCTGAAGGGGTAATTAGGGTTCACACGCGGTTGCGTAGTTTGGGGGGCCCCGCATGTACTGAAGATTTCACGGCGTCGAGAATCCGTGGAGGGGAGAGGGCTCCCGGTCCTTCCCTGACTGGCCCTTGGGTGCCCCCCTCGCCGCCGCGCCTGTGGGCCGCCGGCGCCAAGTTTGTGTGTGTGATGGATTGATTGATTGTGGGCTCCTGGCCCTCCTGGCCCACTTTCAAGATACTCAAGATGGCCTTTTCCTCCTTCCCTCCTCCTCCTCCTCCTCCTCCTCCTCCTCCTCCTCCTCCTGTTCCTCCTGCTCCTCCTCCCTTCCTCCTCCTCCGCGCGATTGGCCCACTGCCCACGCACCACTGCCCCCCTGTTGGCTACCCCTCTGCGGGTCAGCCACCGTTCACTGAGGACTGAGGGCGCCTGCGCGCGGCTGCCATCGCCTCCACGTCCATTCCCCCCCCCCGCATCGCTTCCTCCGACCCCGCGTGCTGCCCCTCCCCTCGGTCGGTCCCGCTTCGCCCCCCCCTCTCGTGGGTGCCTCCCCGAGTCGATCCCTGCAAACCTCTGCCGCTGCTGTGGCCTGGGCATACCTGGGCCCGCCCGCGCGCTTCAGTCTCCGCTGTCGTGTGTGTGTGTGTGTGTTTGTTTTCCGTCCCAGGCACGGCAGCTCCATCTTCCCTAGCATGTACCAAGGGCACCTTGCCTGCTGCCTCTTCGAGGACCACCACGAGCGCTGGCTCTTGATGTCCTCCCGGCTGAAGGAGTTCATCACCGCCGATCTCGCTCACGCCCAGCACTCGACCGAACCCTCGTTTTGGCGAGATTCGGCGCGATCGTTAGAGGGACCGAGATGGACAGCGAGGCGGCATGCCTCTCCTACATGCACTGACTCCTCAAACGCGAGAGGGCCTATGGCGTCCAGACGCCCTCAGCCGACGAGCGGGCCAACGCCACCGAGCACGGGACTACTTCCGCGCCCTTGGCTGCAACACCTCGCGCTGTTCGACGCGATCGGAAAGGATTTCGACCCCAGGTGCCTCCAGAAGCGGATTGGACACTGGGTCCGAGACTGGCGCACTGACCACCTGCTTCCGAGCGACACCTTCCATCCTCCTGTACGGCTCGTGCAGATTGCCACCCGCCCGCCGGGCGACCTCGCCCCCTCGCTCCCACTGGCCGCCAGGGACCTGCCCTCCCCATTCCCTCCCGCCATCCTATGCGACCTGCACACGGCGGGCCTTCCTGCGGCTTCTTTGGGCAGGCGAAGCCCTGGACGACGACGTCGGGACCAGGCGCCTTGTCTGATCCCTTGACTTGGACCTGCACCGCCTCGTCCCCACCCGCCGCGCGGGCGGCCGCGCCCTCGCCCTCGCCCGACAGAGCCTCGCCCCCGCCCTGCCCGTCGGCGCCACCTGTCGGGGGCGGCAAAGAGGGGGGTGATGACTGTGGGGGGGTGGATATCATGGCGGGGGCCATGATATCTCCCCAGATTTCATGGCGCCTCTTCTCATTTCATTACGTCCCTGGCCCCCCCGCTGGGCCGCGCACGTGCCGCCGGTTACGATTTGCACCCCCCCCCTCTTGGACACCCCCCTCTTGGCCGCTCCCGAGCCACCTGGAGAGCCACGTGCTCCGACCGGACGGCCGGAGACCTTGCGGACGGGCTCCGGCGCGCTCCTTGGACGTGGCCGCTCCCTCCCTGCTCTCGGAGCGCGAGGTGGATCGCCGACCTCCAGTCTGCCGGCGTGAGCCAGCAGCGGGACCTCATCAACCGCTACTCAGCCGGCGAGCGCCGCCCTCTTCTTCTCCGGGAGACGCCCTGGTCCTCGCGGCGCGGCGTCGCCGCGTGGCGTGCCGCACTCCTCAACCGCTCGCTCTGCGCCTCGATCCCCGGCCATCCTTGGGCCACGAGGCGGGCCGTGCGGGGGTGTTGCCACCGTCCTCTCGCAGGCCTCCCAGGAGCCGCACGGCAGAGAGCTCGTCCCCGGATGCGCCCTCGAGGGCACCTGCGCCTGGCAGGGCACCCGTATCCGGCTGGCCTCCGTCCACCTCCCTGCCTCCCATCCGAGCTGCAGGAGTCGCCGCTCTCCTTCCTCGCGTCCCCCACCCGGCGACGACACCTACCGACCTGCATCGCGGGGGACATCAACATCGAGTGGGCAGAGCCCCCGCAAGGCAGATCGATCTCGCAGCCGGCCAGCTTTCCTGTCTCCAGGGATGGCGGCTCCCGCCGCTGCCCTGCATCGGCCCTGCCAAGGTCTCCGACTCCGGTGGGGCTCAGATCGACACAGTCGCCACCAACTCCCCCGACCCTGAGGATTTCCTATCTGGAAGATCTTGTTCACTCGCCTCTCGGACCAAGCCGTTCTGCTGGTTGCGGGAGGCCCTTCCAAGGCCGCAGCGCAGAACGCCCAGATGCCCGCCGCTGCCATTGCCGCCCTCCTCCCGCATCCCACCGCTGACCTGCGGCAAAGGTACGCCGCGCTGGCGCGCATGTCCGGCGTCCCAGGCGTGGACCTCACTGCCCCTCCCCAGCCAGTCGCCTGGGAGCCGCCTGCCCCCCTCGCAGGCTCTCGGTGGACCCCACCTCCTGGTGCCCCGGGGGGTCTCTGGCGCCCCCCCGCCCCGTGTGGCAGAGCCCCCGACGCCGCTGCCGCCCGGCGCCGCCGCCCCGGCTGCGGGTCTTCGCAGGCTCTGGGGGCCCTCCTGCTGCCCCCGCTGGGCGCCGGCAGGGCGTCTGCCCCCCGCGCTGCCCCCTGCGCCGGATGGTGCTCGGCGCCGCTGCTGCCGCCCGGCCGCCCCGCCTGTGGGTTTCCCAGACGGGGCGTCTTCCTCCCCGTTCACTTCAAAACCACCCGGACCCGACAACTGCCGCTTACTAAAAGACCCTGGGCGTTTACTAAACAGCCCTGCCCTCTTCGATTCCCTCTGTGAGTGCGTTTGCTAGACGGCTTCGCGTGTCGGGGTGATCATTATGGGGGTGGATTTGCGCCGCCATGGCGCTGACGGGCGGCTCGCAGCCGCTGCGCTGGCGCCCAGTGCTTGGTCTTGCCGCCCGCCGCCTGCGTTCCGACATTTTGCTGGGAAACCACTCCCGCTCCCGCTCTGGGGGACGTGTTGCCACCAGCTGTTGGCTCCACACTGACCGTTGTGCACCCTTGTCCCACTGGGCTGGTTCCAGTCACCGCACGCGCCGCCGCCGCCGCTGGCCCCCTGGCGCAGCAGCCGCCGCGGACCCTCCAGCGGGGCCACCCGCGCCACGCGCTCCGAGCGTGACCTGTACCCCTGAGCGGCCTCGCTCCTCTCCCCCCCCTCCTTCGGCCGTTTCTTCTATCCTTTCCCCTTTTCCTCGGGGCAACGGTACCCCTGTTTGGTTTGCTGTCCGCCAGCGCAGTTATTCTGCCTAGTCGCCGACGCAAAAAAATGTGCACGCGCTCGCGTGTGTTTGTTTGTGTGAGTGTGAGTGTGAGTGTGAGTGTGTGTGTGTGTGTTTTGGTGCTTTGGTGCTTCGGCAGCCTGGGGCGTCGACACCTCTCCAGGCCCGTGCGCTGGGCCCTCGAGCGACCTTCCGTCGCCTGCCGAGCCTGTCGGGAGCCGAGCCGCGGGCAGCGCCCCCGCCGACTCCCCAGGGTGCAGGGCGCCGTGGCCCCCACGAGGCCGCGCCCCACCCTAGGCCCCTCAGCCTGGCGCCAAGGGGGGCTGAGAAGCAGAGCACGCGCCGCGCCCAGGCCAGCCCGCAACGCGGGGAGAAGCAGGCCCGAGCGCCCCGAGCAGCAGCCGCCACCAAGGCTCCTCAGCTCACGGACAACGCCGTGCCAAGGAGGGCAAACGCACAACTGAGAGACCATTCAGATCATTGAACGAGCACATCGGCCTCACCTCAGATCCTTGCCCGTTTTCGGGTCCTGGCCTCGCTTGATGCGGTTGATCCTCCTCTGACGTTCACGATCTCCCGCATCTTTGGGATCGAGCCGCCTGCAGGGACCACTGATGGTCCTGGCCACCGAGCTGTAGTACGAACCACACACGATGCACACCACGAACGTGCCGACGATCTCGACGGTGTGTGGTCGCGGCTCCGCCGAGGCCGCCCGTGGCGCCACCGGTGCAGGCTGCCCGCGGCTGGCGAGCTGGGCGGAGGCCGCCCGCCCGCGCGCGCCGCGCGCTGGCGCCGAATGCGCCGCAGCCGCCGCCGACGAAGTAGAGGCCCCTGTCGTAGCCGTACCGCCGCCCACGTCCAGGGAGCAGGCGAGCTCGTCCTCGTCACCACGGTCGGCGCCGACACACTGAGCAGGGTGAGCCGACTGGGCAGCACTGCGGATCCGCAAAACACCCTCCCGCCCCGCCCCTCTCACTGGTGCCCCCGCCTC